CCTCCTCCTTCTCCTCCTCCCTATTGTTATTATTATCATTTTTATCATTAGTATTATCGTCATCCTCTTCCTCTGCATTTTGGCTGGACGTTTTTGTCTGTCCCAATTGCTGGTGTAGATACTTGGAGAAGGGCGTCTCCTGGTGCTGTACGGACGCACCTCGAAATATTTAAAAGCGCGGCCATCCATGTCGAATACCTGTTGATGTAATCTTGATCTTCACAAATAAAGGCATATCTAACTTTCACGAAATCCTATCTAGTGAGGCAGGTAAGTCAGAGTGCGAGAGAAAAACCTGGATTTTCACTGTGAGGCAGAAGGGGTAGGTTAAGCATACCTCACGGATCGCCGACCCATTATCGTCAGCCAGATCCTGTTGACCGTTAAGGTGCGAAAAATTTTGTAGGTGATTATCACGTTAGCAGATACTGATCAGTGTAACAGGCTGTTGGGGGAGAGGGGGGAAGTTGGTTGAGTGATTGGGAGGGGGAGGGCGTACTCTTTTTATCCCCGAGGTGCGTTATGAATGTGTGAACTTGAGGCGTTAACAGCAACGCGTTTTTTTGCGCGGACCAATAACAAGTGGACACGGTGTGAAGTTACACCGGGCCTAGGAAGCCTGGTGGACCATGTTCACACTCAGAGTCGGACGTTAGTTGAGACGGTTAAAACCACGACAGGGGGTGGACTGTTGTCCCGACAAGTGCTGGAGGGGGAAGGGGACATTGACCAGTGTATCACCATATTCGGACCGTTGTTCGCTCTTGGTGAAACACACCATCCCGATAACTTTTGACAAGTTAATAAAACGCCGTTTTCGAAATTGGGGGATTCTACTGCGCCCAATGATGGCCCGTCAAACCCTCCGGAATTGAGGCATGCAGTCGTCATTGCCAATATACTCGATCGAAACCGACAGGACAACGAACCTGTGGCCTAGCAGTTAGGAGGTTGGACATCAAATCAACAAGTCGCAAGTTCGAACCTCGGGGGAGGGGGGAGTGGGTATGACTAGCTGAAGCCAGGAATGGCCATTCCAGTCTCCCTGGTCTTTGTCACTAATGCTATTCTGAATGGTGATTATTCTGTCCTCCTCCAGTCCCGAGAACTCAACAAGGCTGCGGGCATCTCTTCCCATCATAAATAAAACGCCGGTCTGAGCAGATCCAGGCGATGAACTTGTCTGGATCATTTGGGCGGGGCTGCGAGACGCCATCCTCACCACTGTCACAGAAGTAGTCAAACCAGCTGGCTGAAAATCCTACGACTGGTTCGGAAACAATGATAACGTCATACGACGACGAATATTCGAAGGCGGTCAAGTCCGCGAAGAGTAAATGTGGATTCCGGGAAAACTGTAGTACTACCGATACTACGTTCGGACCCCGGCAACTGGAGAAAATGTTTCGGAAACCGGGGACCAGCCGAAATCCCGCCGGGGCCTTCAACACCAGGAAGGGAGGCGGTCCATTGAAAGAAATGCCGAAATTTAGATCTCCAGAGTGGTTCACACTGGTGGCCAGCCAGTTTCCTGGCGGCAGGAAGGGACGCGTCGTGACGCACAAAGAAGCAACACCACAGGATTTTACAGTACAGAATATACTATTAGGTAGATGCTTTTAACGCGCCGAAATACCTCATGCGGCCATGAAATTTCAGTAAATGCCAGTATAAATGTCAATAGAAAGTAAACAATAAACAAAAAGTAAATTCCCCAAAATAACGGATTTTGAGTTAAGGTGTGAGGTCGTGAGAAGTAATCCTTGTTGGCAGTGTAATTTCTACAAAAACCTGCAAATGTATACCAAGATAAAAGCCCATATGACACTATCTACAGTCTACTGACAGTTAAGTGGGGTCCTTCTCTATACCGTCGCCCATTGATGAATTGGGTGAAACAGGGCCACGTCCTCAGACCGAGTCCCTTCACTGTTGATGGAACCTGCCAAAAACGACTAGGTATCAAAGTAAGCTGTTGAACTGATGGTAGACCACTTAAGGTCTAGTATACCCCAGTCATCATGAAAAAACTCCAGGTTCATAAATAGATCAATCCAGAGAACACCGATGCGGGTGCTTGTAGGCAATGATAGACGGAAGTGACGCAGGTAAGATGTGGTTATGTAGCCCTACCTGATGGACACAATACTGCTGGAGTTGGAATTGGGAGTTAGGGTTAGGGCCAGGGCCAGGGGTCATGGGTTAGAGTTAGGGGTTAGGGCTAGGGTTAGGGGTTAGGACAGCTATTTCTCAACCTATCAAAGTACAACCGCGCATTCCCAATAGCTTTTCATTTGCACACAATTACCTGACCTCGTCGCCTTTGCGTTCCCGGCCCCACCTGTATAAACCATTATTACCACCGGCCCGTTTTTAGAGGTGACTGGTGTTTGTTTACTTCATGTGGGACTACATAGCCACATCTGACCGTGACGCAATATTATCACAGTGATCGCCTCCCTCATTTGGCCATAAATCAACTTAAAGTTTTGACAAACGCCTGCACAATATTCTTAGGTATTGCCGTTAGTCTTCGCGATCGAGTTAGAACTGAAGGCCCGGGACGACAGGCCTGGAACGACGCCACCAACGCCACCAACGCCACCAACGCCCAAGCACCGTCAATGTTTCCTTACCATAACACCTGACCTCCAAAACGGACCACGTTGTAGATACGCTGAACCAACACAGTGGGCAGACCGGAGTCTGGCACCCATAAAAATGTCAACATTGGGGATGTGGTGGCACGCCCTGCTGCAGGTTCATGCCGCGTCAGTTGTGGTTCTAGTCGCTCTCCCCTCTTTTCCTCTTGTGTAAAGTCCTGTTTGGTGTATGTTATGAACCAGGGGGTGTGGTGATAGGCCTAGGAGTGGGTTTTTGGCGTGCTAACCACTTGTGCCGTCTCCCGCCTCCGGTCTTATTAACTCTATCATGACACCGCACCCAGGTGGGTGAGGAGAGAATTCGGTGGACGCAGTGAAAGTCCAATATCACTATAAACTAATCCGCGCGCAAGTCAGCGTCCCTGCTCTCACCCTGCTGTGGAACACATGGCGGACATAGTCGGAAACGACGGCTGAACCGTCTATGATACCGTCCACCTTCAGTCGTCGCGCTTCTGTCTTAAACAGGATGGGCATCGCGAGGGATGGTAGGGCGGATTTCGCATAAATTAGTTCAATTGTAAACAGATTCCACCGCGCTTTCTTTGGAACTGTGGTAAGGCTCGTCGTTTGAGGCGGTCGACCTATCGTTGCAAATGTTGGTGAAGACATCAGTTGCAGCGCGGGTATTTTAACACAGATCGAACGTATAATGACCGCGCAAATGAAAGTAGTTGATTTAAGGCCATTTTCCTGCCAAGTAAGACTGGTTAATTTCCACAACGCCGGCACACCAGTAAAGCCCTGGATGATCCCAGATTCTGATCAGTCAGTTGCTTCAGCTAGTAGCATTTCGAGAAACCATTTAGCACCACTCCAGGAAAAGGTCTCGTAAACCATACGACAAGAGGTAAAACTCAACAAAGTTTCCCAGAGAGACCTTTGTATTTCTCTGACCTTTAAGCCGGTGTTCCTCATCCCCGTAAATGATAATTCACAGACTTTGCCCGTTTTATAGGCTTACCTCCGCAAAATGACGTGTTTTCGGCAGAACTGCGATTAGGGCCTTCGGAGCCGTACAGCTGGATTGCCTCCGGACAACTCCCGCGACCTTCTTTAGAAACAACTGACCGTTACCGCGTGTAGTCCTGTGACAACGTGGATAGCTTGACTGAGAGAGAATTCTCTGGCTTTTTTGCCATCCGGATGTAATCTCTCTTCCGCTTTAGAGTAGTAGTAATGATAAGGGGAAGAAGAGGATGAAGAAAAATAAGAAGAAGAGGAAGAAGAAGAAGAAGAAGAAGAAGAAGAAGAAGAAGAAGAAGAAGAAGAAGAAGAAGAAGAAGAAGAAGAAGAAGAAGAAGAAGAAGAAGAAGAAGAAGAAGAAGAAGACTAAAAGGGGGATGAATAGCTTTCACCCTCCCTCAATTTTCATCACCAGTCAACCAATCATCACTCTGGATCATGAAGATAGGAGGACTGAAACTGAAGGAGTTGAGTAAGTCCGGCCGCAACCCAAAAGCGGGAAATTCGCAAAAGTGAGAGTTCCGAGATTAGATGACAGGGTTTATAGGCGTTCAGTGATCCACAATTGGACTCTAGGTGGAGACTTTATAGATGAGAGCAGTAGGGCTTGTATAGTTTGTGCAACAAAAGGCGAAGGCCCACAAGGAAGGCCGCATTATTGTGTCAACCTTGATAGGGGCTGAAATACTCTGTTAGAGGAGGAGCATTCACGGCGCGTAAAGAAAGGGGATCAGATCGTGCGTCACACAAGAGGCGAAAGTCGATTTCTGTTCTGTGGCTGCGGACAGGCCCATAACCACTCTCTCGGACTGGTCTAGCAGATAAACCACGATGACCACGGGATAAGAGAGAGAGAGAGAGAGAGAGAGAGAGAGAGAGAGAGAGAGAGAGAGAGAGAGAGAGAGAGAGAGAGAGAGAGAGAGAGAGAGACCGATTCTACAAAATTCTCCCTCACTGTAGCCAAAACTGTACGCAAGTCGCCGCTGCCTCCTCAGACCTTTTTCCCACTGAGAAGATCTTAACTATTTGTACCGGACTAGAACGCCAGGTTTCCCAACTTCTGAGCAAAATGTAAAGTCTCTGGCCAACTGAGGCCTTCGGAACAGCTGTTCTGATTAAGACCCAAGGCACAGCGAACTTAGGGATCTAGCTGTCTTCAATATCTAACATATGCGGCAGGAGATTTTGATAGCAAAGCCCAGTAAAAACCTTTCTACTTGAAATCGGACACCTTGATGGAATGCCATTGGTCGGTTGGTCACTTGTGCGTGTGACGTGATAATACGTCTGCCGACCAGCACAAGCCTATTGTTCCCTAGTTCCCCCGATTGTAATACTAGAGGGCTGTGTTCAGTTTCCTTTCGTTACTAACGCGTGATCTGATGCCTCTTCCCTCAACATCGTGATCCGCGACTAATAGCGCGCTCGTCGCCAGGACGATTGCGCAACCGAGTCACCAACGCTCGGTCCGCCAATAAAAATGGTCACAAGTGGGTGTGGCAACACCAGGAACGGAAGGGGGGAGAAGGGGATGCGTCGGAAGTGACTTGAAACACGAGTACGCTAGCAACACCGGGGTAAGAATCATATGGAGCGTCTGACAAGGGTTCATGTAAATCTCTTGGATATTTCTGTTTCAGGTCTAGCCTGATGTGCAGTAGTGATCACAAGATCACCGAAACTGCCTTCTCGAAATTCCATACAAATATTATTATATCTTTTATTGAAGTGGGCATTATAAGTCTTTTCATTCATCTATGGAAGCTCACTCAGACGATGTCAACAGACAAAATCAAAATTCGAATATAACGGACAAGCAAATAAAAGCTGGGTTAAGTGAAGCAGACACTAACACAGCAAGAATCGAACCACTGTTAGGACGCCTGGCTGTGACAATTGACTGTGTATGCCAGCCACCAGGAAGTCGACAATGCCTGGGTTTAATAGTATTGTTAATTATGGCCCAGTGTTCCGGTTGAAAATGCAGAAAGTCTATAAAGAAGCAGGACACCACAGGGAAGAGGTATAAATGGAATATTTCGAATAGAAATCAGACCCCAACCAAGTGAATTCGATGTATGCGGCGAAAACCAGTAACCTCTGAACAGGCATAATTCCATGATAATTCAGTTACTTCAGGATGCCGGTTTTTGAATGAACATCTTTCGGGCCGCCGGCAAAAAACTGCACTCTGTAAGAAATGGCAACTTAAGCAGTATGAACTTTTATCATTGATTTTCGATGCCATTATAGATTCAAATGTACTTCATAGGAAGCATATATAAAAATATTCGTTCTTTCACTCATGTGGTAGAAATTTTGTCTTCCTTAAATTTTATTCTTGAAGGAGGGCTATATTTCAGTTTTAAAAAGTTCCTAATAATGATATTTTTTAGGATCGTGAAATGCCCGTCCACAAAACATCCTGCTTCTGCACTTACTAATGTTGCTTGTAAAGTTTACTATATGGCTCAAATCCTCTGCCAAATTTCATGAAACCCATATAGTCTCCTTTTAATACCGCACACAGAAAATGTACAGCTTGTAGTTTCGAAACCCTGAAAGCAAATGTAACGGGGGGGGGTCGGGTTAAATATTAGTCGGGGATTGGAAAAGTCATTTAAAATTGAATTATACCCTTATTTTGGGTATAAAATTTGAAGAATGTTTAATTTTCTACCAAATGAGTAAAAGAATGAATATTTTGTATGCATGTTTTTTTATGAAATGCATTTGAATTTATAAAGGTATCGAAAATCAATGAGAAAAATGCATGCTACATAAGTGGTCATTTTTTACAGTGCGTGGTTTTTCATGCGGCCGGAAAGAGGCCGGTATCCTGAAATTACTGGATTATCATGGAATTATGTCACACGGCGATTAATATTACAACCCTACGGAGGTAATCTTTTCGAGTCGAGAACGCATTTCAGAATTTTGGTTAACATTTCGTGAGTTCATATTGACCCAACTGTGAAAAACTCGACGCCTCGGTGGGATTCGAACCCACGCAGTAAGGGGGAAGGCTTTAGTACAGCCAACGCTCTAACCACCTGAGCTACGAGGTGGTTAGAGCGTTGGCTGTACTAAAGCCTTCCCCCTTACTGCGTGGGTTCGAATCCCACCGAAGCGTCGAGTTTTTCACAGTTGGGTCAATATGAATTATTTAAAATCTGCCAAAATATCAATGAATTTCGTGAGTTAGCACATCTACTGTAAGTGGTATTATAAGCACAATCACAATATGCGAGAGGGTTATCTCAGTTAGAATGTCTGTCGGTCAAGGCGATCAAAGTAAACCGAAATTACTGATCCTGCTTATCGTTAAACCATTTGCAGATAGGTGGTCGTGGTTAGATGCGGTCGCTTCCAAGTAAATGTGTCACATAGAGGAAAGCTGGCATCCAGCGTTTTAGGAGGGAGTAGGCAAGGTAGAGGATTCGTCCGAAATCGTGGTCCTTAATTGCTCACTCCACATCTCATAAGTATGTTCAGCGGCAACATAACCCCATTAATATGACAGTTCGAGCGTCGTTACTATGTTCGCCCTGTATCCCACAGCAAGGTGGGCATAGGGGGCAGCGGCTCGCGCGCGAATTTTTTTATGCTACAAGTGGACTTGCGTTGCATCTATCGCACCCTCCGCCTACGTGTCCGTCAGTTGGCAGTCTTTCAAACCTCGACTTTTGGAGCACCGTGACAGTGTAAAAGTGCGTCAGATTGTTTTTTTTAGGGACGAATGTGCGTTGAAGGCCCGTCTGCATTTGCCATACACGACCTGGTCCCTCGCACCTGATTTCACACATGCGTAAGACTGCCATTGAGGTCACATTAAGAGGAAGCCATTGTGTCTGACTATCAGTCCACCAATCAGTCACTCTACACAAACTCACGCAGGGTCGACTACTAGGTCTGAGTTTCACCATCAGCTGGCAGCCTTCCAAGCCATGACATTTAGCTCATCGTGATCGTTTCAGCGCGTCAGATTTGCAATGTTGAGGTAAAGGCTGAAGTGTTTTAGGGATGGAGTCCCTTCCTTCTCCCATGCATCAGTCCATTGTCAAAGTCGGCCGAAATGTTAATGCTGAGACTAGGTGCAGGACCAAAAACAGCCCGTCTGCGCGTGCCACACACATGCCTCCCCCCGGCAGAGCGCATCAGGATTTCACGCAAGTGGGATGGGCGGCTCACATCTCGCAGACTTTATGGTACCCTAGTGGCTACATTGAGAAGGAACCAAGGACACGCTTCCGGGTCTGTGGTGTATGACGTGGGGTGAGTTTGTGCGTGGTGTACATGCCTGTGGATAGATGTGCGGTGTCTACTTGTAGACTCTCATGAAGACGTATATGGCCGGGCAGGCCCATGCAGTGACTGAGTGTCCGTGGGCACTTGAGGTGGGTTCGACGGGTATATATCGGTGCTCCCGGCACTGGTTAGCCAGTCCCGGCGCAGCTGATCATCAAGTGACCGGCGAGGCCGATGCGTGATGTGCATATGTTGTGGCAGTCTGAACAATATAGGCTAGTGGCTGTTGTGTTGGTGTCAGTTTTGGTGCTGCTTGTGATGACAACGTTAGTAGAGAGAGTGTTAATAGCGTGTACATATGCCTGGGCCCTAGACACTGGTTCGTCGGTCTCAGCGCGATGGTTTCGTAAGTGACCAACCAGACCGGTTCGAAGCGAATCAACATGGCCGATGTTAGGGGCAGTGATGGTGAGGATGAGACTGGTGGGGCCTTTAGAGTGGGCGGGGGGGAGGAGATTGTAGTCTGATATGTGTCAGTGTTTGTGGAGACGGTGGTGATCCCTGTCGTGGACATCGCGGTGGTTTCGGCAGGGGTAACAGTAGAGGCGTGTATGGGGGCAGTTGCTGAAGTTGTCATACAGTTGCACCGCGAGGCCGATCTGCGCAAGGAATGTCCAGCGTGGACACGTCGGAAGCGGGTTGTTGGGGCTGAGTGTCCGTGACTACCGTGTGGCCTTCCTCGACGAGGGCACTAAAGTCACCAGGGGTAATCAGCTTTTCCCCCTTTGTCGCAGTCGCCAAGAGGACACACACGTCTTCGTAAAACTTGTTCCTCGCCCCTCTAGGAGAAATTGCAGCCGGCACCCACCTCCTCCGGCAGAGCCTGTCCCGAGAATCGGGTATCATTGAAGACAATGATGCCCACCTTGCAGCGCACCAGTACTGGATATCTTCATATGGTTTAGATCGCTGACCGAGGCGGTTACCGGGGTGCTGCCACTAAGAAAAACCCAGCTTCAGGAAGCTGCAGATTACAGTTAAAGGGCATTCGGAACCGCCACCACCCCTTCACCGTTAACTCCCTAACTGGGTTCCCCGCTAACCCGCCCATCAAAAAAGCAACAAAAGAATAACTAATTAAACACCGCTCTCCTCCTCCTTCTACTCTACATCTCAACACTCCCCTTCTTGTGCTGCACGCCATCGCCAGCGTCGCCGTTGTCATAATTGTCATCATGATTCTCGTGCACCACGAAGTTATCAAGACTACTACTACTACTACTACTACTACTACTACTACTACTACTACTACTACTACTACTACTACTACTACTACTACTACTGCTGCTGCTGCTGCTGCTGCTGCTGCTGCTGCTGCTGCTGCTGCTGCTGCTGCTGCTGCTGCTGCTGCTGCTGCTGCTGCTGCTGATGATGATGATGATGATGATGATGATGATGATGATGATGATGATGATGATGATGATGATGATGATGATGATGATGATGATGATGATGATGATGATGATGATGATGATGATGATGATGATGATGATGATGATGATGATGATGATGATGATGATGATGCTATTATCATTACTATGGCTATTGCTATGTGAACTTCGATTTCCGGTTCCTTAATTTTACTCCCATTAAAGCTTGAGCGGTGAGGGATAATTCATGGGCTCGCAACCTAAGAATACATGATCATATAAATCACAAGATTCATAGGTCAGACTCTGTAAAAAGAGCATGGGGCAGGATTAAGTTAGCGTCCGCAAAGGAGCATTTATTTTGACTCCTTCTCCGTGACTTGACTCATCTGCGCGAGTCTATCCTGACCCAGGTAACTAAAGCCGTCACACCGAATTTCCTTATCTCTTCTTGAAGGCTGCTCAGCCTGTCTCTCCCCGCCCACGTGACACGTTCGGTTTCCCTTCCCGCCCTCCCCCAGCAAGTTAAACGTGATCATCCAACCCTCCCCCCGCATCCATTGGCCTGGATCCCAATTTTGTTGTGGACAGACACAGATGGCTTACCGGTTGCGCAACCATTATGGAAACGCGGGTTGGGGGGGGGGGGGAGGTGGGGCCGTGTCGGGCAGTGGAGGCCTCGGGAACCGCCTGTTCACCAGTTGATGTCACCCGAATCCCGCCCATCATCATTACTCTCCCCCGCCCTGACTTGAGCCCATTTGCTGGCGCCACAGCTGGCACCCTAGCAACAGCTGCGTCCGCCCAGTGCTAAGCCGGAAAATTTTTATTGTTGGGGCAAGATCGGTCCAATGTCGATGAGAACGAGCCATCCTCACATACGTGGAAGTTTGAGTGATGAAAGTGAACAAAGTACACGATGACCCACCTGTCCCTGAATTGTTTAGGTCATTTCTGGACAAAGAAGATGAATATGCAAATTCAAAGTGCCATTTTCGGTCGTGGGGTACTGTGCGCCTCGTTAGACACTAAGTGGTCTGAAATTTGTTTTTTTTTGATTTTGCTCAGGTAGATGCCCATATTTGGATGCCATAAAGCATTAACAACCGCCTCAGTAAATACTTTGAGTCTTCTGGTTCATCGAACTCTTGGTTGAGAACAGTGTGTAAGGCCACATGACTGGGTCGAAGACTAGGAGTCGGGCTCTATGAGGGCTTATTGATGGGGCCTATACGGCATTCTCATGGACGTAAGATCCGAGTAGTCCTCGTTTCTCTGAAAACCTGGCACAGTGTGCCACAACCAGGTTTGGGGAGTCTGCAGTTCAGGCCTCAGATTCGCTCTCACAAACGTGCACGAAGTCTCAATTCAGGCCATTTGCCCACTGTGTTACATCCTTTTGGTCAACATTTTGAATTCTCCATGTCCCTCTTTCAAGTGCTTCCAATTCTGCTCCCCGTTGTTGGCATTCCCCTTTCTCCTCCTTGTACCCCTTTTTGGCATGAAGTACGTTCTCTTTATAGACTGGGTCAGATGTGGTTATGTAGCTCCCATCTGAAGTAAACAAACCCCAGCCACCTGTAATACGCAATCGGTGGTAATAGGGGTTTTTAAGCGTGGGGTCGCGGAACGCGCAGACAATGAGGTCGAGCAGTTGTAGGCAAAAAGAAAAGCCATCTGGGTATGCGCGGTTGCACTTTGAGTGGTTGAGAAACGGTTGCCCTAACCGTAACCATGACCCCTAACCCCAACCCCTACAGTATTGTGTCCATGAGGTGGGCTACATCACCAAATCTTATCATTGACCGATTTCTTTGTCTAACCTTGAGCTGTAGATTAGATTCCTTCGAATATTTACTAAGGTATTCTTTGACAAGTGCATCCACTGTTGAAATTTGTACACGTCTCTTCTTGTGCATATTCCGTCAACAGCACCGTATATACACTGAAATCAGTTTTTTTGGCTTACAGGCGTCGTTCAGAAAGCCGAAGAATTCAACATACCATCCGTATAAAACTTATCGGGAATAAATGCTGTTACGGAAGAGGTCATGCTAAAAAAGCTAAGATCTTAATTATGGCCGTGACAGGTAAAAGGAAATAAACACGACGGGGATCGCTGTAAGTTTTACTATTGACATAGGGGGCGAAGAATTGTGTCAAACAGCCCCGACGAACGCAACGGTCAAACTTAGCATCATTCATTATGTGACGGTTTAGGACATTTCCAAAAGGCATGCAGTGAAGCGCTGACCACACGGTCGCATGTTAGGTGTTCTGCCATCGAGCACACGACGACGTGCTTTTCACAATAATAGGTATGACTTTTCCGAGTTTTATCCGCGTTGTTAGCGGTCCAGTTTTCCCGTCCCTCTTGAGGTTGTAGTGTTTCTATACTATACGCCCTGATAACTGTGACCAACCGCCAGGATTTCGCCGGTCGTCTTATTCGCTCCGAGGCTCAGACAACTACTCAAGGTCACTCAATTCAATGACAAAGGCCTCTGCCTCAAAACTACTTCACCTCGTCCCAGACGCGCTCACATGCATCCACTCAACTAACTTCGACCCGGCCACACTTGCGTCCAGACGGTCACACCACTCCATGCCACACTTGAACCTCCCCTCATCTAGTGCAACAAAAACCACTTCAACAAACCGTTCCTCGTGTAGTACCTGCAGACAGTGCTTCCGTCGCGAACGTCAATGCCAACCGTGTGCCGCGCGACCTGGTGCGAACAGGACTGTGACTCGCGCGTGGGTTAATTTATAGTAATGGCAGACTTGCGCAGCATCTGCCGCAGTCTCGCCTGCTTCACCCACTTGAGTCCAGCGGCAAGACAGAATCAGGATGACCGAGGGTGGACTCAGGCTGCGCGTGCTACACACGACCTAGTTCTCACAATATGTGCATATTCTCTCTCTCTCTCTCTCTCTCTCTCTCTCTCTCTCTCTCACTCACTCACTCACTCACTCACTCACTCACTCACTCACTCACTCACTCTCAGACATGACTTAACACTTACGTTGCACGATTTAGCATACTTCAGAGCACAGGTACTAGCTAACAGCCCACGTACGTTGTTATATCCAGTTGGTCAACGTTTGGAATGCCCCACGTCGTCTTAGCAAGTGCTTCCACTTTTGGTCCCTGTTGACATTCCCCTTTCCCCTTTTATAACCCTCTTTCGAGCATGATCGGTGTTCTTTTAATTAGGTATTTTTGTATTATGACCTTGACCCGGGGATTCGATTCGCTCGAACAGTAGCAAAGGAATTCTTTGTCCAGGGTATCCATTATTGAGGTTTGTACGTTATTCATTATTACCCGTATTCTATCGATAGTACCGTATATACACCGAAATCTGTTTTAGCTTATACGCGTCACTCAGTCAACAAAGAATTGCACACACCTGTTTCACCGATATTCTGCCGCTGCGTGACACAGCTGCGAAGGGTTCGGCTCATCAATGGGCTTTCCAGCGTTCCCTGTGTGCTTGCGGGTATATACGCCTGTTTTGTAGTTTCAACTTTTTAATCTTCTTATAAATTATGTATATTATCCGGTTATCCCTCTCCAGCTGATGGGTCTCGGCTCAAATATTCATATCAACTTTTGGACTGAGCCTATAAAGCTTCATTGCGACTTAGTTACCCCCAAGTTAGTGCATTAATTTCTGAGGAGATTAAAGCGCTGAGATGGCTGAATGCCAGTATGTTTTTACCGACGAAGACAAGGGAGACTGGAATGGCCATTTCTGGCTTATTAACCGTCGTCAGCCAGTCATACCCAACCCCGAGGCCGTGAGTTCGAGCGTCGGGTGTTCCACACTTCGGGGTTGGGTGTGACTGACTGACGACGGCTAATAAGCCAGGAATGGTCATTCCAGTCTCCCTTGTCTTTGTCGGTAATAACATATTGCCTATATCCTGCACCGCTGTGCGGCTGATGGTTGGGTTCGAGAGAGAGAGAGAGAGAGCCCGTAAGGCACAACGGAACGAGTGGGCTTCGAAAGAACGATCGGTGAGCGCCCCCTGCCACTGACTGAATACCGTCAGCACAGGGTCTGACCTTGTCAGCAGCCACTGCGATCGAAGATAGCGACCCAGGCCTCTGTGCACAATAAAGCCGCCATCCTGGTGCCATCCATCTTCTCTTGTTTTCTGAGAATTGGTCTGATCATCGTGGTACTTCAACTACCCGAGCTGCTGCAAGATATTCCTCGTCCTCACAGCCCGAGATTTTCCCGTCGCAGACTATTTAGCGACAAGACCATTGTTCACCCGACCCTGCAGTTGAGTGAACAGTACAGTTAGTACGAATCAACTGTGTCTGTAAGCAATAACTCCTCAGCTTGGGACCTGTGACTAGACCTAGCAGGTGAGGTCTCAAGAACCGGCGAGGTAATCATTACATTCTCCCCCCGGTAATAGCGGGAATCTCCGATTGACGTGGTCTGTCTGTTAACCCGACTGCCTTCAACGGCGACTAACTGTGAAACAGGCAGGCCCTCGGGTCCGACGAATAGCCAACCGCGCACTATGCAGCAGTGGGTGTGACTGGACACCGAAGTGGTAAATTGGTTGCCTGTCATGAGGCCACAACCATACCGACGGGGTAGACTCCGGTTTGTTGGGCTATCGGTCAACTGGTGGAAAATGTTTATGAATATACACATGTAAATTGTTTGGATTACATCTCCCATAGTCCTTTGCCAGTCTCTGCGTGTGGGGGAGAGGGGACGGTTCGACAAGGTCAGTTGAGGACACTCCTAAGCGCGCACGCAGGGGTGAATTCCCATTCTTTGTCTGTCCCCTGCCTGTGGAGTGACCCATTCTCCTGGACGCGACCGCTGTCATGTGCACACCCAATCACAGAGGCGGGTTTTCTCGCGTCTGACGCACGTCCGTCCATGCACTCTGCCTCGTACGACGCTACACACGTGCCCTCGTACGGCTCCCGCGCCCTGCATTAGCCTGGCTCATTAGCGTTACCTATTTCGCTTACGTGAACGGTGATTTGATCAAGGACAGGAGTCAAGGAAACAAAGTTTGCAGTCTGCAGTTTGGGGCAAATAACTTGATAGACTGTTGTTTGCAGATTTAGTCAAATGTGGTGTCCTACATAGCCCATGTGCGCCTCATGATCAATACTCTGTCAACTATGGGAGTCCACGGGCCTGGGG